TCCCCTCTTTATGTATGCTTCTTGTCTTTGTCCAGTTTGTTCCCAACTCCTATTATTTTGTTCTAAATTGTTTTGGAACTTTTCCTATTATCAATATTCTTCAATACTTTTAGGCTAGGCCCTCCTTCTCTCTGTATACTCTCTAGTTTTTTACACTGTCACAAAGTTTATCCTCTACATATACATATGATCATATCTCCCTTTTTAAAATATTTAATAACCAAGAGAAATGAAAACATATATGCATGCAAAGACATATAGGTAAGTTAACAATGGCTTTATTTACAAGAACCTCAAATTGGAAACACCCCAGATATCCTTCAACAGGTAAATGGATAAATAAAAGGTGGTATTTCTATATATGGATACAAAGGAATAAAAAGGAATGAACTATTGATAGACACACAATATGGATGAATCTCAAAATCATTATGCTAAGTGGAAGAAACTAGAAACAAAAGTACGTTATTATTCATATGGCAATTAATAAAATTGATAATAATAGATAATGGCAAATAGCAGGTTAATAGTTATCTTAAGCCATGTGTGAAGGGAGAGTTGGGCTGCAAAGAAACATAAGAAATCTTTTGGGAGTAATCAGATTCGTTTGTATCTTGATTGTGAAACCAGTTTCTCTGGTATTGATTCAAAACTCATTGAATTGTACCCTTTAAAAGGGTGCGATTTATTGTATAATTGCATCTCTACAAGGTTGGTTTTTACAAAACTCTTACAGGGATGGGCTCTTAATTGCCTTCAGGATATAGGTTATGTGCCTGAACAATCTGGTCACAACTTTTCCTTCCATTTATTGATGTGTGCTTTTGACTCCACACTGCTTACTGTCCTCCATATGCCAAAAGTTTTATTTTGTTGTCTTAGCTCATATTCTAAACTCTGAATTGTTCCCTACCACCTTTCTTTTCTTTCTTGGAAAAATTAAGTATGTCTGTGAAAATTGGCCTGGAAGTCATTGTTGACCTTGTGGAACATTATCTAGCTCTTTGCTTTTATGTTACTTTATTTATTTTTAATTTTTTTGTTTAAAAGTTGACATATAATAATTGTACATATTTGTGGGGTACATAGTGATGTTTTGATACATGTAACATAGTGATCAGATCGGAGTAATTAGAATATCCATCATCTCAAACATTGATTACATATCTTGGCTATCTTGAATAATGCTGCAGAACACATGGGGCTAAAGATGACTCTCTCATATACTGATTTCCTTTCTTTTGGATAAATGCCCAGTAATGGGATTGCTAGGTCATATGGTTGTTCTATTTGTAGTTTTCTGAGGTACCTCCATAATATTATCTATAATGGCTGATACTAGTTCACATTATATCACCAACAATGTGTATGAGTTCCCCTTTTCTTTGCATCCTAGCTAGCATTTGTTAAATTTTGATAAAAGCCATCTTAACTGGAATAATAAGATATTGATATCTCCTATCACTTTCTTTATTACTCAATTTTGGTACCTGAACTTTTCAACAATAAAAATATAATCGTCCTATGAAACTGCTATACAGTATGGACATAGAAAGTATTTTTGGTTGTATGTTTTGATATTTAGTGGAACAGTTAAAGAATGATGACATGGCATTATGTTTCAGAAGGCTATATGACTAATTAAATTTGGTAATATTACTTTGGTGAGCACTGTGGTTACCTGTTAAATTTGATTTTGCTGTCAATTGATTTTGACAGCATCTTAATAAGTTATCAGTCTATTATAGGCTAACAAATCAAACTGATTTAAGACTAAATATGTAATCCAGAATGCAAATTTGTTAATTCACAACGTAAACTATTTATATCAAACAGGTAAGAAAACATGTATTGATGGATTAACAAATCCATTCCCTTTGGGGATGGAAAGCAGCAAGGCAACCTAAATTATAGTCTGAAGGTTGCTTAGTGGGCGCAGAATTTTATCATGGGAAGTTGGTTCAAACCTGGCCAAATTTCTGGATCCTAAAGTCTACATTAATGATTTTCTGTAGCATATTCCTTTTTACTTCAATTATAGCATAAGATTGTTATTTGGGTAAATCTTTATGCTGATAAATATTGATATCATTTATTCTAGTAGACATTCTGGTTTTTTTCTCTGATGATACTTCCATTGCTGTCATTTTCCCACTATTATTAATTTACTGAGCTTTTCCCCCAAAGTGATAATGGGTCAAAGGTCATGGCCTGAATCTAGCTATATTTTTTTCAACAGAGTGGATTCTTTTATAGATAAAGATCTGATGGTAGATCTTTATGTATAAAAAGGTCTGCTTTGCTTTTTTTTTTCAAAGTTTATAGTTAATGTTCAGAGTAATTAAGGAATCAACAGACATCTTACTTATCCCCAGATTACTTAGGGCTCACTATGCTGGAGAAGTTTGTTGCAACTATAGTATGGAGTTAGTAGGCAGCCTAGTATGGAGAAGTGAAAATGAGGAAGAAGAGTGCTGAACCCCTAGAATAAAGAGCTTTGTCAAGCAAATGTGCTAGACTTCCTCCAACAGTAGCAGTACAGTCACCCCTCAATATTCTGTTGGTTCCACATCTCTGGATTCCACCCATGTGGATTGAAAATGCTCAAGGAAAAAGAATTACAATAACAATGCAATTAAAATGCAAATAAGAAAATCAATACACTATAACAACTCTTGCATGGCATTTACATTGTATTAGGTATTATAAGTAATCTAGAGATGATGTAGAGCACATGGGAGCGTGTATGGAGGATATACACAAATACTACACCATTTTATATAAAGGACTTGAGCATCCTTGAATTGTGGTGTAGCAAAGGAAGTCTTGGAAGAAATCTTCTGCAAATACTGAGGGACAACTAAAGTAGTAGTCAGTAGAATAATAACGTAAGTATTTATAGAAAAATCATAAAGAGGATTATAATACTGAAAGAAGAAAATACGTACTTAATGCTTCTTAGGTGCTAGTATTACCCTGGGTTATTTTACTCAAGTCTTCACAGTAACCCTAGAAAACAAGATCTGTTATTATCCTCGCTTTGCAGATGAGGAAACTGAGACACAGAGAAATTAAGTAACTTATTCAAAATCACGGACCTAGTAAACTATAAGGCTGGATGTCTACTGGGTAGTAGTAATTATGATTATTGAATAAATGCTACTGATGATCTACATTTAATCTTAATGTAGAACAGTCAGAATTTAGCTAGATGTTGATTCTAGAGCTGATTAGTTAGTTGTTATCAATAAAAAATAAAACAGATGAGAGTAGAAGATAATTCCAGAGAATGAATGTAGAAGAAATTGGTTGTTTTAGGGTTGTGTTTAACATTAAATGAGAACCATAGGACATTTAGCACATGGTAAGGGGATAATAATTGCCCATCATTATTTAACAGCAGTTTGCTGTAGTTTAAGAAGACAAGCACCAGTAGCTCTGATCTTTGTTTCCATGGTCTGTAGAGAAATACACTCATGTAAACACATACACAACCATACATATATAATATTCAGTACTTCATATTTTCCTATGAATACCTGTATGATGGAGGGGTATAACTAAAAATCTGATCTTTTGATAGTGCTACTCCCTACTCCATGATCTATTATATATTTTCATTTAATGAGGCACACTATGCCATGACTTCTTCTGATGAATATAATAACTTTTATGGAAAGAAATTGGCTAGGAAGGTTAGAAAAAGGTTATAAGCAAATGTATCTCACAAAGCTGCTGAAATAGAAAAGTAAAGGAAATTGCTCTTTTCCTGAAACCTTATCTGATAGAAATAATTACTTTATTTGGGGGTGCTTTGGGCAGATATTTCTCTATCATTTCAGAGAGGAAATTTTAAACTGACTTCATCTCCAAAGACATAAGAAATTCTTGTTGTACATTTATGTTTATTTATTATGGCATCCTTTTAGGGTACACAGGGTTATTTCAGTACATCTTTAAATATTACTTTTGTTTTATGTGAAACACTATTTTTCTTTCTAGGTTTCCAAGCTTGGTTGAGACTGGAGTATTAATAATGAAGTCATCTCTCTAAAGTGGTTTCTTCAGTACATCCATATACTGGGATGGATTTTCTTTTATGCCTGTTCACAGAGTTCTATTCAGTTTGTTATTAGTAATTATCCCCTAGTCACTTTCTTCATATCTGTTTCCTAGATAACAGTTCCCTAGTTTATACCTGTATTGTATATTATTCTTCCCTAAGTGTATTGTCTTATACTTCTTTACATTAAATCTCATCTTGGACCTGTCCTTTCAAATCCCCAAGTTGTCCATATTCATCCATGTACTTGATTGATCTTCCTTTCTTTTCTCTTTAATCCATCCTACCTTTGTATCATCTACAAACTTGATCATACTTGAATTTACATTCTCCTCCAGCTCATTACTGAGTATGCTGGACAGACTAGTCCTTATTCCTGGGAGATCATGCTGGATATACTGCTGGATGTTCTCAGTAGTGACTATGTTGATAATAATGCATTGCTTCTTTCCCACACAGAATTTTTTATCTACTGTGTTATGCTGTTATCTAGGCAATGACTCTACCATCTCTGCTCTCTGAATACTCCTCCATCAATCATCGTTTTCTAATATTATTATGATGTTCTCTTATTTATGCCCTTGCTTAATTTTGTTAGTTACAGTCTAGGAGAATATTGTTCCTTAATCAAAAATTTTCCAAAGTTTTCATTGTCTATCAGTGAGTCTTTAAAAGTGTTAAGTGTAAAACATTTTGGAAGTGTTGCCTAAATTTTTGCTTTCCCCATGGAAAGAAGTCTACAGTTAAATTTTAAGTAAAAGAATAATTCTTTATCCTTCAGCTGAGATGATTTAAATATGTATTTTTTTCTTGAATGTGGATTGTATTTATGCCTCAGGATGATTTCAGGATGAGACACAGTTCATTTATAATTTTCAGAGCATGATACAGAGTCATACATTTATTTTTAAAGTTATATTTTTTCCTTTATTTTCAGGAGAAAGAAGAAGTAGAAGGCATATCAGTAGGTGCTATACTTTCTGACTATCAGCGAATTCGAGTAGAAAATGTGTAAGAGACATTCAATAATTTGTTAACTTTTAAAGTATATATATTTTAAGCATGTGATTACATGAAAAATAAATAGTTATATCCAAATCATAAATTGGTATGATATTCTACATGCCCTATGGAACTAAATGTATATATTTACCTAAGTAATAAAAGTAACACTTTCACTTTTTTCTGTCCTTATCTCACATGAGAAAACTCTTAACTTACTGTTAGGAAAAATAAATAATTTATAATAAAAGTTCAGACAAAGATTTTAGTGGGAAGTGTTATCTTCAATTCTTTATTTGATTTATTATATACTTTTACTCTCTTTTAACTATCATTTGTAGGCTCAGCACCTGTGGCTCAAGTGGCTAAGGCGAACCCACCTAAGGTGGTGGGTTCGAATCCAGCCTGGGCCCGCCAAATAACAATGATGGCTGCAACCAAAAAATAGCCGGGCGTAGTGGCAGACGCCTGTGGTCCCAGCTACTAGGGAGGCAGAGGCAGGAGACTCACTTGAGCCCAGGAGTTGGAGGTTGCTGTGAGCTGTGATGCGACAGCACTCTATCCAGTGAGACAGAAAAAGAAAAAACTATCATTTGTAATAAAAATCAGGTCCTATTAGAAGGAATTCCATAATATTTTTTAAAAAATGCTTAAGGAATGTATTTCTCTTTGGCTCATAGAATTCAGTTCTTAGCCAGAAATATTCATGTGACTGAAAAATTTTTATGTAAACCCATTTAACTTTCAAGGAATATTTAAATTGTTGCTCCCTTCTATTCACGGCATAGGGATGTTGTAATACCAGTAAGACATTTAGTCTCTAGCTACAAATAGCCAAAATGTCAACTTTATTAATCTATTAAAAATCATCAGAGTAAATGATAATTATTTAATGTAGACTTGGCAACAACATCTGAATGAATTCATTTTTCATTTTTACTTGGATAAATACTATAATGTGTAGAGATTTTTAGGCATAATTATATTTGCAAAAAAGAAAATATGGATTCTGGTATTTTTCTTAAACACAACTTAATCAGAAATTAAGTGATTTTCCCACTCAAAATGATAAATGGAAATAAGATATGATGGTTGTATTTATGTAATAGTTTTATATTCTTGATAAAGAAGCATTTATGCTGTCTATCTCATTAAGAACCTACATATTAATAGACTTGAAAACTTAAGTTTTATTTTATTTATTTTCTCTCTAATCCTTGGTGGATTTAAGGCACTTATAGAATTTTGAAAGTGCATGAAGGGAAAGCACAGCAAAGCATATAAGTGAAGAGAAATATGATAATTTCACATTTTAGAGCTGAGAATTTCTAGACAATGTATGATGGTGGTGGAAATAAGGAAGAGGTCAAGTATGTATATTTTGAGCAAATTTTCCTTACATTTTACTTGTTCACTTTTGATCTGTAAGTGAAGATGGATCACATAACTCTAAAGGCATACATGAGAAATATTATTGTCATAAAATTTTAGGTAGGTCAAATTATTTAATTTCCAGATTAGTGTTTTTTTAATAAGTTAAAACCAAGTAGGTTAATGAGTAGCCATACTGGAGATAGGGCTACCATCTATTTATGAATGGTAAAAAGCCAAATGTAAGTGTCTTCCTCATTAGGGACCACTTTATTATATAAGATGTTATATATATTATATTTAACCAATTATTTTAAATTGCACATGAACTTTATGAACACCCTGTTTGTACATGGACAAAGGACCCATGGCATACATTGGGTAGAAGGAAGACTTTCTCAAAACACCATCTTAGATATACTTCAACATATGGTTTAAGATGACCAGATTTTATGTCACAGAGCATATCTGCAATAATTTTTTAATAGATACTAGAAGGTCAAATGCATCAGTGATTAAGAAGTTTGACTTACATCTAAAAATAGTCGAAAGATTATGAATTTTAAAGTGGCAGTCAAGAATTTTATAATAAGGACAGGAGGAAATAAATTGTTTTCCATAAAAAAGAAATCTTAACTAGGAAAGTTAGAGAGGATACTTTGATTAGTAAGTGTTAAACATTGGAGAGAGGACAGCAAAAGCAAGAACTGTAGTGTTTGTGTTACATGGGCTGTTTGAATTTTATTATTTGTGTCGTTATTGTATGCCTGACCATTGCCTTAATGCTCTTGACACATTTTAAGAAGGAAAATTATATAAAAGAGTCTGCACAGTAAAAACGGTTTTCATTTCTTTGATACTGTATATGTACAAGAAAAAAGTAGAGATGTCTTTTGAAAGTCACATGCAGGTAAATGACCAGACATAGAGTACATTTAATAAGTATTGGGATTCTTTTAGAGAGACAGAGAAATGGGTGTAGGTGTGAGTGGTCAGCCAGGCAACTTTACAACCAGTATGATGGCTTTTAGAACTATATTCTTGTTTGACATCTTATCTCAACCACTTGCTCTGTGATTTGAGCATGTCCCTTAACTTTGACTGCCATTTATTGAATACTTATTTGTCCAGGTATTTTTTTACATTCTTTTTCTTTTTTTTAGCAGTTTTTGGCCAGGGCTGGGTTTGTACCCCCCACCTCTGGTATATGGGGTCGGCGCCCTACTCCTTTGAGCCACAGGCGCCGGCCTACATTCTTTAGTTACATTACTTTTAATTGAGAAAGTGGTGATCACGCAAAGGCATGTTGTAAGTGAGAAAAATAGGGAACACAGCTAGTGTAGTAGGCAAGATTATGTAGGCAAGTGGTGGATAGAGTAAGGGGGAGATAAGACCTGAGAAGTAATCAGGGTGATATTTTTATGGGTCTATTGCAAAGATTTTTACCTGAAGTGATGAGGAGCCACTGCAGTGCTTTGAGCAGAGGAATCCCTTAATGAAAAAGAATCACACTGTCTGTTGCATTGAAAATGGATTTTTTAAAAGAGGGTGGAAACCAGGAAAGTAATTAGGATGTTGACATGAGAGATAGCAGTGGCTCAGACCAAGGTGTTAACAGTGGTATTGGTGAGGAAGGATCACAATTCTGCATTGTGGTAGATTGGAAGAAAAGAAGAGTAAAGGATGGCTTCACTTTCTAATCTTTTAATCTTCTTAAAAACTTTGAAAGGAAGTATTTTTGCCCATATTTATGAACTAGGGAATTAAGAACATGGACTTAGACTCTTAAAACTTGCTTAACCTGGGACAGCCACGTAGCTAGAGTGCAAAATGAGGTTTCAAACCTGGATTTGTCTTGACTCCAAAACTCATTTTCTTTCTATTGCACCAATCATGTGAAAGTATCTAGTACAATGCCTGCAGCATATTAGGTGCTCAGTAAATTGTATGCTTTGTTCTTAGTAATTTTTGGACTCAGAGACAAATTCATAAAAAACAATTTCAAAGTTAATAGATAAGAGCAGTTCATGTTAGTTCATATTGCCATAGATATTGTAAGTTTAATCATGAGTGTAATTATTTTGTTAGGGTAAATTGTTTGCATATGCTTCATAATTTTTATACTCACAGAAATTTAAAGATGAGACTATCATCTGTTGACATTCGTAAGCTCTTTACATAGATTTCTAAACTTAGAGACTTGCTAAAATTAGTATTTCTAGTATGCTGGGAGAATTAATTTTTTATCAGTTTAACTTAGCCCATGGATGTTAAATATGTTTATGTTGTATATGTATAAACTTCATTATGCAAAACATGTTTTTTAAAACATTTTAATTGCTAAATTCCTTGAAAGAAGCATTATGTTTAAAATCAAACTAATTGCTATGGATCCAACTATGGGACATTATGGTGTCATCTGATTTTTTTCTTTTTCTTTTTGTAGGTGTAAAAGGCTTAATCTCCAGCCTTTAGCTTACCTTTGGCAGAGAAACCAGGAAGATTTACTGCAAGAGATGATATCATCTAACATTCAAGCGATTATTATCAAAGTAGCAGCTTTGGGTATGTAGTCAGACTTTTAAAGGATGTCTGTTACTACATAGATAAACAGTTACAGTGCAAAAGGAAGAATGATTAAGTATATAAAAATGTGGAGTCACAGCTGAAGAAATTGAGTGGGCTTTTGACCATTTGCCAAAGTGATTAATAGTGAGATTTTTTTCGGAGTATATGGTTCTAAACCGATATTATATTACGTATTAATGGTTCTTCAATTAGAACTATTTTCATAGGATTGGGAATTCAGATTTCTAAGAAACAGGAAATATAAAGGGGTTTTTTTGTTTTTGCTTTTTTTTTTCACCTTCTTATAATATGTATGTGGCATAAAACATTATATTTTCCTTTTTAAAACTTATTTTGAACAATGTTAAAATAGAATAATTGATTTTGTGTTATCAAAAAGTAATAGTGTAGTGGGTTTTAGTTGGGGATGGTGAGAAAATCATGTTTGAGAAAATGTGATTGGATCAGTTAGCCTAGACACAGTAGGCAGGTGATAATCTGATTCACATATGGATATTACATATGAACACATTTCATTTGTTTGTTTTGAATTTTTATAATTATATTCATTTTTGAGAAACTGTAAGGTTTAAGCCCAATACATTTAGTTCATGAACCTATTACAGAAAATGCCCTGGGGCCTCAGGGTTCCCAAAGCCTAAATCATGTACCTCATTTGAGAGTGTTTACCTTGCTGATCTCTGACATAACTAGGTCTCAAGCTATGGAAGATGTTACAGATAAATGCACATTTCAACAAGCAGCATTAAAAGAAAAAGGAAAGAATGTAGATTTATACCTTTCTCCTTGGGTATAAAAAATACTAAGCTATATTGTTCCTGTTGAATTAGAGGTGTTGTCTTTAGTTGAAAGTTTTATTTGGAAAACCTACAGTTGATCTCTTTAGCTGTTAAAATGAGAAAAATTGAGATGGCCATTATGCTCTCGTGTCTGAGAAAAGATTGCTAAGCAGCTTTCAGATGAGAGTTCTCATTATGGAAATATTTGTCATGTGAGTTTCTATGTGAATCGAGGCAGAGGATGCTTTCTTGCTTTCACTCTCTCTCACTCTCTTTGGGATTTTCTAAGATTACATAGTTCTGAAATGAAGTTCGCATGACAACTCACCAGAAGGTACACATACTATCCCTTTTACTATCAGATAAAAAACTGGATTAGGACCCAGAAAGACCCACTTTATTGGAAAGACAGAACCGTAAAATTAGACCTCATTGCCATCTTTCTAATAGTATACCACTGAAATTGTATGCCTTAACATTTATGTGTATGCCTCTCTATAGAGGTTAGAGATGGGGAATTTGCTGTAAGAAACCTTTGGGTAGAGTATAAAACTGAGCTAATTTGTCCTCAGATCTCAATAACATTTGCAGCACATGCTTTCTACTCATTACTTGGAAATATAGGTTTCCAAGTTCTTTTTCCTCCGATTTAAAATTATCAGGAAAAGATTTAAGCAAAAAATAGGACAATAGGACTTTTCTATGGGGGAGAGGAGTTGGTAAAATTTTAGGATTCATTTTTCTATGGAATGGTTTTATAATAGAAAAGGGTCAGCTCTACATGAATGTATACGAATATATTTTTGATAATTTTGTAATCTTGATGTCTTGCAGGCATCACTAAACTCATAAAATTTTCATGTTAACAACTTAGTATTTCAGGGACTTTCTACTGGTTTTTACATTTATTTAAATGTAAAAAAGTCCATTTGCTCATTGGACTTAAGAGCAATCTGGCCTTTTAGAAATATTTGTTTTTGATTTTATGAGTGTTATATGAAAATGTTATTATATAGTATTAAATTTTTATAGGTAATGAAAATATTCTGTGTGCTCCTGCCATCCACTTCCTTTCCCAGTATAGGCATGTAAGTCTTTACTCATCATCTTTCAAGAGGATGTTTTTGTATATATATACGTACTTATAGAAGTAATACGATTATGTTATGGGTTTTTATTATTATGTAAATTGTATCTTACTCTATATTGATCTACAACTTGCCTCTTGTATTCAACATTATATCTTGGAGATCTTTTACCTCACATTTTATTTTAAGAAACCTTTTATTAGATAATAATATAGATAATAAAAAGTTTCAAAATCCTAAATATATAACTTGATGAATTTTCTCAAAGTGAACATACCTCTGTAATCAACACTCAAATCAAGATACAAAGCATTGCTGACATCCTCCTAGTCATTACTTACCTCCTAAAGGTAACAGCTCTCCTGATACCTAAAACCATAGATCACTTTTTTTTCTGTTTTTGAATTTTATACAAATGGGATCATATGGTATATTCTCTATAGTGTCTGGTTTCTTTGGTTCAATATTACATTTATGAGATTTGCCCATATCATTAAATGAAGTAATAGTGTATACATTTTCATGGTAGTGCAGTGTTCTGTTGTAGGAATGTGCCACAATTTAATTATTCATTTCTTCATTGGTTACATATAGATTATTTCATGTTTTAGCACTATTATAAATAAAAATGCTACTGCGAATATACGGGGTCATCTTGCATATTTTCTTTTTTAGACCTAGAACATCCTTTCCTTTAAGAAGCCCTGTTTTCTTCTTAATTTGAAATGATATGTATTTAGATTTATGTATGTATATCTAATAGCTTATGATTTCATGGTACTTTAAAATCAAATTCAGGATTATGTAAAGATGATAATAATTTTATATTCCATCTCTGCCTTCTTTCTCCTACAATGGAAAGTCTTGGTTCTTAAGGACACAGAAGATCTTATTAGAAAATACCATGATTTCTGGGAACAAAAAGACCAAATAGCAGTTCTATAGTCCATTCTTTCCAGTAAGTAGGGTATGCTCCCTGGAAAGAAAGAACCATTTATATAATCTTTTTATAAATATACTAACTGGAGACCTTATGCCAAAAACACATAAACAAAAAATTATTAACAGCATTTACTAGAGAGGAAAAGTTCTTATCTTTGCACTGCCTTTTAGCAGTATATATTTTGTTGCTAAGGGGGGCCCGTTCAAAGAAAGCGTGAGAACACTTTTACCTGTCACTAATAAATCTTTTACTTCTTGAAGGATACTTGTTTGCAAAGTAACTAAATTGATCACTGGAAAAAATATATAGATTTAAGGGTTAGCTTAACCAATTAAGTGATTTTGTACCAACATTCATTGTGAAAGGAAGTAATGCCAGGACTCTACTTGTAAGGCTTCTTACAAGAATTGAGAGGCAGTAATGAAGTGATCAGGGAGGAGGCAAATACACAAGTGTAGATCCTTCCCATTTTGCAAAATCCTTTTTTTTTTCCTGTTCTGGTAGTCCCTGAGTTTAAAGTTGCGTATACCAAAGTAAAGTATTATCATTGCACAAGATAAAATAGTAATACCATTCAATTGGACAGAATGTGTACTTAGAGGCCTTTAGGAGTATATATAACTTCACACTGTATGGACAAATTAAGGACTGTCTATAAACACAGAGCCAAGTGTCCTGTGATTCTTGATCTGTCTGATCCTATTGTATCTGCCAGGGAAAAGTGTCAACAGGGCTGTTGTTTTTATTGGTCCCATGGGTTTAAAATATATCTATTCAGCAAGAAAACCCACACATAAGGAAAAGGGTGTGAATTAAAAGAAATGAGGGGAATAATAGGACATCGAAAGCCACTTATAAGTGAATTACAGTTTGGAGGGATGCAATTGTGTGACCTCTAAGCCAGCATTTCAGAGCTAGAGTACAATACTCTTAGGTAATTCTCTTAGATTTGATGCCAGCCTTATCTGATGATGAGGTAAGATAATTTTTCTGGATCTGAAAAATTGATGATATACAGGCTCATGTAGTGATCCCATCAGTATAATTTGGAACAACAGAGTGACACAGGATCACTTGATAACTCAATATAGGGATAGTTTGCTAGAGTTACCTTTTGTGTCTTGGTATATAAGCTATATAGTTATCCTTTAAACAATGAGGGGCAACACTCCCCTGCACAACTAAAAACCTGATTATAACTTTTGACTACCCCATAACTTTACTAATAGACTGCTGTTGACTAATAACATAAATAGCCAATTAACACATTTTATATGTTATTACATATAAATTTATATGTAATATATTATATATTACTAAGTTATATATTATTATATAATATATTAAGTTATATATTATACACTGTATTTATATGTAATATAGTTAATATAATTTATATGTAATATATTATATTACACTATATTTATATGTAATATATTTAATGTAATTTATATGTAATATATTATTAAGTTATATAATATATAATATATTAAGTTATATATTATACACTGTAGTCTTATAAAAAAGTAAGATGGAGAAAAAATGTTTTAAGAAAATCATAAAGAAGAGAAAATACTTTTATGGTACTGTACTGTATTTATCTGTAGCCTAAGTTTACGTGGTCAGTTTACAAGACAAATGATTTGTCTGAAATGGCAGGCATCCTCAGCTGCAGACCTCAAGCCATGGTGTATATAAAGCAATTCAACTTTTTCTTATTATATCATGACTTTTCTCTGTTTCTTGGGAGCACTTCTAGCATCTGTAGTGATACTTTGTATGAGTCCCCTGGTGTTATTCAAGGTTTGCAGCATTGCACTAAACACTATTAATACACAAGATCCATTAAGGATAATTTTTTTACCATGATATGCAGTGGCACTGGAGATACAAACTGCTCAAGCAGGGATGATTAGTGTCACACAATTAGCTTCACATGGCATTCTGAACAGATACTAGCAACACTTGAGCTCACCACAAACCAACAGGAGAGAACTATAAAATTATTACAGTAGTAAAGTATGCACTAAAATTAATTTTATGCAGTTATGATTTGTTTCTGCTTCTTTCCATTTGTTTAAAAGTAAATATGACGTCTGACAATTAAGTTCGCAGACTCACCACCATGTGCTTACGTTGGCAGCATTGGACAAAGAGCTCAATAAG